CTTGTGAAGCCACAATCAACCAACAAGTGCACAATACTTGGAGCCTCTGACTCACAAAGAACAAATCTGCTTGCCAAAATGAAATCCCTTCTCTTTAAGTTGTTCTTGTGTGAGAATATACTTCCTCTTGTAACCACTGTTCCATTTGAACCACTTGGAAAAGAAACCCCAGTCCCCAAATAAAACTTGTGAAGCCACAATCAACCTACAAGTGCACAATACTTGGAGCCTCTGGCTCACAAAACAAATCTGCTTGCCAAAATGAAACCCTTTCTCTTTAAGTTGTTCCTGTGTGAAAATATACTTCTTTGGGATATGAAAATCCCATGTTCGGATCAAGCTACTTCAATAAATCAATACCTAGAAAATAACACAGATCTCCTAGGTCTTTTATTTCAAACTCCTACTATAAGAATCTCTTCTCTTAATAAATAATTTGTAGTCCAGCTGTGATTGTAAGTAGCCAATTATCAATACAGCCCCTCTGGACCTGTCAAACCACACCCAACTGTTTCAGCCCATAGATTCATTTCTTCAACCTACACACTTTGCCATCTTCCTTACATCATAGAAACTTGGAGGAAGATCATGTAAAGAAAATTATAAAATCACCCTAGGCAATTGTTTCATTCGTTCATCAAAGCTCCAAGAACCACCTATTTGTTAATGTTGTTCATTCATTCATCTTAATAAAAGATATTTTTAAATGACAATTATAATTACAAAATCATTTTTTTTTTGTAGGGATTAAGAATGTAAGACCCAAACATGGACTTATTTGGTCTTGCCTCAAGGGGCTTGGTACAAAGGCAGCTTGTAAAATTAGGATTGCAAAATGTTTAACATCACATTAGCTATTTGAAATAATGGATTGGGTAAAAAATAAGAGATTGAATTCCACCTTCCTAGCATTGGTCCCAAAAAAGAAAGATGCCTCCCATTCAAAGGACTTCAGACGAATCAGTTTGGTAAATAGCTTGTATAAGATAATTGCAAAGGTGATGCCATTGAGGTTAAAGCAAGTCTTGTCATCTATCATTGCACCAAATCAAGAAGCTTTTGTGAGTGGAAGACAAATTACTGATAAGATTCTAATTGTCAATGAGAGTGTGGAGAATTTCAAAAAGATTAGAAATAATAGAGTGATTTGCAAGTTGGACCTGGAAAAGGCTTATTATTTGGTGGATTGGTTTTTCTTGAAGAAAGTTATGATCAATTTTGGGTTTGGGGTAAGCTGGTGCAAATGGATCATGGCGTGTTTAGAATTGTCATTATTCTATGCTGGTAAATGGGACAATGATAGATTTCTTTCCAGCCATAAGGGGAATAAGACAAGGGGACCCACTCTCTCCCTTCTTATTCACATTAGTTGCAGATGTTTTAGGGAGACTGATTCATAGAGCGGATTCAAAGGATCTTTTAAGAGGATGGAGACTAGGAAGGGAGGAGACCCCCCTTACCCACTTACAGTTTGTAGATGACACGATTTTGTTCTGTGAAGGAGGAAACCTAAGGTGGATTAGGAACATGAAATTGGTGATACAACTCTTTGAAAAAATGTTCAATCTCAAGGTGAATTTTGAGAAAAGTTGTGTAGTGGGAGTGAATATGAGGGAGGGAGAGGTCAGGGAGTGTGCAGAGTTATTGGGTTGTGAAGTTTCAAGCTGGCCCTTGAATTATCTAGGATTGCCCTTGGGAGACAACCCAAAGAAAGAGAATTTTTGGAATACAGTGTTGGAAAGATTTGAGAAGAGACTTGTCTCCTGGAAAAAAGAATTTTCTTTCCCTTGGTGGAGGATTACACTAATTAGGGCTACCTTAGCCAATTTACCCATTTACTTCCTGTCATTGTTCAAAATCCCAGCTAAGGTGTCTAATAGATTGGAAAAGATGATGAGAGACTTTTTATGGGAGCTAGGAGAGGAGAAGAGGGACCACAAGGTGAGTTGGGAGGTGGTGACTAGGAGCAAAAACTTGGGTGGATTGGGGCTTGGGCATATCAAGAAAAGGAATGCGGCTCTTTTGGGGAAATGGTTATGGTGGAGGTTCTCTTTAGAGAAGGAGAAACTATGGGCTAAAATAGTGGCAAGCATTCATGGGTTGGAGGAAAACTGATGGAATTCTGGAATTCGGGCAAGGACTACAAGTGCATCACCTTGGAAAGCTATCCATGACTTGTTACCGGTTTTCTCCCCTCTTATTAGGTATGACTTAAATTCAGGCAATCTTATAAAATTTTGGGAACAGACCTGGGTGGAGAATGCCCCTCTGAAGGATCAGTTTCCATCCTTGTATGCCCTTTCTGACTTGAAAAATGAGCCAGTTTCTTCCTTCATTATCCTATCTTCTTCCAACTCCGGGACTGGGTGGAATTTGGGATTGAGGAGGGCTGTTAGAGATACAGACCTAAACAGCATCCCGAGTCTCCTAGGTCTTCTTGAAAATATTTTCTTGGACCCCCACAAAGGAAGACAGTAGAATTTGGACCCTCACCCCCACTAGCTCTTTCTCTTGTGCTTCTTTCTTCAATGTTTTAACTCAGCCAACCAGTCCCTTGGGCCTTCCTTTCCCTATCAAAGAGATTTGGTGCAGACAAATTCCTCCTAGGGTTGGTAGCTTTTGTTGGGAAGCATTTCTGGAAAGAATCAACACTAGTGATATGATCCAAAAGAAGAGACCCAAGACATGTTTATCCCCTCACAAGTGCTTTCTTTGTAAAGTTGATGGGGAGACTGTTTTTCACCTATTGGTGTCATGCCAGTTTGCAAAGACTATTTGGGAATGGGCTTCTTCCCTTTTTGCGTGTAATTGGACCCCTCCATCGAACCTGTAGAGCCTTTTTTCTTCTTTTTTCAGGTGGCATCTGAAAAGGGGTAGGACTATGTGGAGACGCCTAAGGGCTGCGGTATGCTGGTCTCTATGGGAAGAAAGAAACTCTAGGATTTTCTCCGAAGTAGAGAGAAGTGTTAAGGAAATGGGAGTGTTTCAGCCCTGTGCTCAGGTCCAATTGGGGTGGGTGATTCTCTTAGAGCCGAAATTTATGCAGTTATGGAAGGTGTCCAAAGAGCAAAGGAGATGGAATATAAAAAGACTTGTAATTGAAGGGGATTCGGAGGTGGTTGCAGGGTGGCTGAATAAAAACAGTACTGGATTATGGAATTACAACAATGAAAGGAGAAAGTTTATATGGCTGGTTAAAGACATGGAAATCAAGATCAGTTGGGTGAAGAGATTAGCTAACTCGTTTGCTGATGGGTTAGCTAAGCAAGGGGTGGCGAGGGAGTCTATGTTCTGGGCTCAGTTGTTATTTTAACTTCTATTCTTGGGAGCTCAAGCCTCAGTTGGGGAGATGAGAAAGTTTATCTCCTCCTTTGTAATTAATACTTCTGTAAAAAAAAAAAAAGAAAGAGATTGAAAGCTTCACGTGCTTGAATATATTTTATATATTATGCTTGATTTTATTTTTAAATTTTCATTTCGAATATGTTTTACATGTTATGTTTATGCATTTTAATTTGAGATAGTTGTTTTTTTTAACATTTATTTTAAAATTTAAGTTTATATTGTTAATTAATATTATTTTTTATTTTTTATTATTTTTTTGCACTTTTGCGCTTTGCGCATTTAAAACATTGGGAGAATTGAGAATCTGTAATAATTTTCTCCTTCATTGCGGCTTACTGAGCAAGATAGGTAAGGTTGTTCATGAAATGAATCAAACTGACCAAACCAATCTGATTTGAACCGATTTGGCCAGTTTTCAAATATTAATGATCAGTTTCGGTTAAAGAAAAGACAAAAGCCAAATAGTTGGATAAGTTCAGTTTATAAGTGTGCAAACTGACAAAACCGAACCGACCCGCCTTTAAAGTAAGAAATTCAAACAATGTCTGTTAACTGACCTATTAAAAGAACTAGCAATGCAAAACATCTTATCAATCTGGAGCATTAAATGTATGGTCCAGACATTAAATGTTGCGCTTTTTACTTTTTTAGGTTCTAACCTTTAACCTCTCTCGATGGATTTTAAAGTTCAAAAGTTAAAGAGAAAAAAGTTGGAATCAGTGAATAATAGAGCTGTAACCATACAAGTGCATCTAGCCATCTAGGCACTAGACAGGGAGTTATAGCTGGCAGTATTCATTTATTTAAAACCAATACGCTATAGGTAATTGCATTGACCAACTGAGAAACCGCCAAGCCAAGAACTGTATGTTTAGGTTGGTTTTCAGGTTATCTCATCTGGTTTCAGTTGATGAGAATATGAACCCAACGATGTCAGCTCAGTTGGGTAAATTATATACAACTGAACCAAACCTACCTGTGTACAGCCCTAAAGATAGGCATCAGGTTTTAAATTTCTTCCATATCCTCCAGATGACAGCTAAAATCCTACTTGAATGCATCATCATTGGTCATTTAAGGTGTTAGATGCATAGTGCCATATTCTTTGGACAATGACTCCCATTCCAGTCTTGGAGCATATTGAAGAAACAACTCTTCATGCAAACAATTTTGGCTCAGTTGACACAGTGATCAGCATAACTGGACCTTGTAGTTCTGTTGGTCATCCATTCTAGCATAACTTAAAGGGGCATGTTACATCATTTCTTAATTCTTGGGATTCCAAAGCTTATAGCAGTATTGTGTTTCTTTATTGACTCGCCTATTGTTGTTGCTCTTGTTTGATCAATCTATTCACTTGCTTCTTTTGTATTGTAGTTGTATGCTAGGGTTCCACCATTTTTTATCAATAAATGGCCTTTGACAATATGATGGAAAATGTCAATTCAAACTTTTCTTGTCTTGTAGGATTTCTGCCAAGATTTAAGTCTGTGCATTTCATTTCACAAGTATTGTTACCAAACCAAATATTATCTCACATATGTCCAGAGTTAGCCTATCAATTGTACTGCAATTTATTTATCCAGCTTATTATGGTTAGGAATTTCTCTGCATTTATACTAGACATGTAACTTAACATGCCTTTTTCCTCATAGGTAGCAGCTTATAATCCTGCTATCACTCCTACTAGTTCTTTGGACATTAAGGGAAGGATTGGGGAAACAGGTTATAGCCTTAAAACATCTACGGAGTTGCTAAAAGTATTGAACCGGATCTGGAGCCTGGAAGAACAGCATGCATCCAATATCTCATTAGTGAAAGCACTGAAAATTGAGCTGGACCATTCCCGGGCTCGGATCAAAGAGTTGCTACAAGAGCAACAAGCAGACCGATATGAAATGGATGATCTAATAAAGCAAGTAACAGAGGAAAAACTAATTAGAAAGAGCAAGGAGCAGGACCGAATCAAGGCTGCAGTTCAGTCGGTGAGGGACGAGCTAGAAGATGAAAGGAAGTTGAGAAAGCGGTCAGAGAGCCTGCACCGGAAGTTAGCTCGTGAGTTATCTGAGGTGAAATCTGGCTTCTCAAAAGCTCTGAAAGAACTAGAAAGAGAGAGGAAAGCTAGGACACTATTGGAAGACCTATGTGATGAATTTGCAAGGGGAATAGGAGATTATGATCAAGAGGTGCGAGCCTTGAAACATAAGTTTGAGAAGGATCATGGTGGTAGGGAAGAACATGATCGGTTGATACTTCATATCTCTGAGGCATGGCTTGATGAACGAATGCAGATGAAACTTGCTGAATCTCGGTCTGATTTTGTTGAAAAGAACACAATAGTGGATAAGTTAAGCTTTGAGATAGAGACCTTCCTTCAGGCTAAACGATCTGGAAGTTCCAAGAGTAATGACATCTCATTCTCAAAAGATAAAAAATGTTCCGTGCGTCGCCATTCCCTTGAGTCTATTTACTTTAACGAGGCTACCAGTCCACTTCAAGATGCAGGTGATGAGGAAGATTCTGTGGGTAGTGATTCACATTGCTTTGAACTAAACAAGAGTTTTAGTAACAAACAAAACAATGCGCACTCTAAACCAAATGCAGAAGAAGCTGGAGCAGATCATTTTGATGAAACAGCAAAATTTGATCCGGCTAAAAAGAAGTTTTGGTCCCATGAGAGGATCAAGGGTCGCAAACCATCAAGTTTGCAAGTTCAGTTTGAAGAACAAATGGCTTGGGCAGAGTCATGTAATGGAAACAAGACCTCCCTTAAGGATAGGGAGGCAGGAAAGGTGGGTGGAGAAGATGCAAACCCCGTTGAAATAAGTATTTCCCGGAAATCAGAAATTTGTGAGGCTACAGAAGATGGCAGTCAAGAAAGGAAGAGTAAACCAGATGGAATTCACGGATCTGACTCAAACCATGTGATTGATAACTTGATTAGAAGTCAGCCACTGATGGGGGGAGGGAAAATTCAATCTGAGAATGGTTGCAGGGAAGAATCTCACAGTCGATCTGCATGGAGGGGTCATGCTAGTCCAGTACAACAATGGATGTCTAGATTGACATCCCCGAATCTTGAGACATCTGAGTCTTCTTCAAAATGGCCACGAGGCTTGAAGGAGAATACCTTGAAAGCAAAGCTACTTGAAGCAAGGTTAGAGGGGCAGCACTCTCGCTTAAAAGCTTCCAAAGGTTCCTCTTAAGTTGAATGGTATAATCAGATCAGCTGAATTCCAGATTATTGTCATTGTGTATAGTAACCAAAGTACTCTTAAAACTTGAATGATGTAGTTATGCTTCTATTTATCTGGTATCTTTTTTCTTCTGTAATTTGGGGGTCTCCCTCTGTATATGAGAAATATATGGCTCTATCATGTGTGACACATCAAGTGGAAATGAAAGTGCAATGGAATTTGAATAACCACTAATAGGCTCCACAGTACATGACTACATGCTATGCTTTGATTCTTCAAAACTCTAACTTCTCCCTTGCTTGATTTATGGGTTTTGCAATTCTTACGGGTGAACCTTTTATTTTTCAACTCTTCTGTGGACTTTATATTCCTCTTGTTTCGTGTCTAACCAAGGTTTTTAAAACCGAACCGGACAACGAACTGTTCAGGGGTCCGGTTCCCAGGTCAAACGGTCTGACTGTTTGAACCGAACAGATGGTCCGTTCTGACAAAAGAAATAAAAAAATGGCCAAAAACTGCTAGATGGTTCGAACGGTTTGAATGGTTTAACTGCCCAGGTCAGCGGTTTGGTGGCCAAATCAACGGCTTTTGGCCAAAAAGACGGTTCTGGGGTGAAACGGGATTTCTCAGTTTTTCCAGTCCGACCGTTCGGTCCGGTCTGGTTGTAAAAACCATGTGTCTAACATGAAATGGCAAATATTTGACTCCATTTACCTAGCATCAATTACCTTTTCTGTGCAAGTAAAGCAGCAGTTTCACAATTAGTTTATGTTTAGACTCTTGTGAGACCTGAGACACCTTCATTTTTGGTAATAAGCTTCACTGTAATCGGTACTCATTATGTATTTCAAGTTTCATTTAATGTATAGAAGTAGGTTGACTAGTCTCTTGCGGATGGAATCAGTTGGGCTGTTTCATGCGACTTACAGTACTGAAAAATTACCTTGAATCCTAGGTTTTAGTCCAATCTAATGTCATCTTGTTTGCAAATTTGGGATGTTAGGTGATATATGATATCTCAGTTTTAATTTTGTCTTTATTGGAGAAGCCCATGCGTCCCAAGATTCATGCGTTGTCTCTTCATAAAAGAAGAGTAATAGTTGAAGAGGAAAGAATTTTCATTGCAGTAGAGAATACAAGAAATTCTGAACAGAGTTGATACAAACTTGTTTGATCGAACAGAATTCTAGGATATTTTCAACAGCTTCCCCAAATCCTCCTTAAAGTTTCAAACAAGTTTGGAAACCTCAGTGTTGTTGCACCCACTAAGTTTTTTCTTTGGTGAATTACCTACTAGGTTGGTTATTCACTAGGGTTATGTTTGGTTTGAAGGAAAAGGTAAGGAAACCTTTACAAGACATTTCCCTACTTTTTCCTTCAAACCATAAAAGAAACTCTAGTTTACCCTAAATAGTTACTTGGCTGTGTTTAGATCAGGGTGGATTTGGAGTTGGGGGCAAAACAGGAGCTGGAAATTCCAAAGTTCCCAGATTCCATACTTGTGCTATTCAATACCCGAGCAGAATTGGGCAATAATGGACTTTTAGCCTTCTAAATCTGTTTCCCTTTAAGTGAAAATGGAAATGACATGGGTGGAGTGTTCATTTAGATTATGGGTAGTCAAGGCAGGAAGGGAATTAAAATTCTTTTTTGTGCTAGCTACCAAGTGAGCAAAAGGGGCTGTTTTTACTTGCATGGCATATGGTATTTGCTGAACTAGAAGTCTAGGTGTTATTTGTAGACGGTGCAGTTTATGTACATTAGAGTCAAGAAGGGAGGTGTGGGATCTATAAGAAACCAAAGAAGAGTTTTTATTATTTTAACATCTTCACAGATTTCTGAAGTTCCCGTCAAAGAAGTGAGAACTCTAATATTTGCATTTCCACCACCTAAACTTACAATTTCTTTTGTGCCTGAGAACTTTGACTGTTACCACTTCTATCATGGCAGAATGGACCTAGTCAAATTGTTATGATCTTTCTTGGATTCTGTAGAAGAAGTTCCAGAAGCATATTGGAAAATATTCAAGAAGACATTTCTGGGTTTCCGTACTTCGGTGAAATATGGTTCACTCACTATTGTTGAATAGTTTGAAGACTGCACCCTCGATAACTTGTCTCTGAAGTTATCTTTGTTTTTCCTCATCACTGATGACTGGTACGAACTATCACCAGTCGTACATCCTTCAGAAGGTAAGATAGGTAAAAAATGATTTGACATTTCCATCCTAAATTTGCTCTCAAACCTATCTCCTACTTCGCCTTGAATCAGGTTCTGTGGGTAGGAGATCCCGATTGCTGTTGTTGATTTTTATAATTGCAGTTTTTCTCTGTTATGGAAAAAACTGGTGTTTCATTAGAGACTTCGTGTTCGGATCTGCTCATCACAATACATTGCTCGCCACGTTTACTGGAAGCATGGCCAGCAGAATTCGAGTTCGTTTCATTCACCGTTGTCGATTATTTCAGTTTTGATGTTTGTTGGAGAAGATATTTCACGAGGCCGGAAGGGGGATTCAGTGGGAAAAACTTAGGCTGTTGGGGTAGAAGTGTAAAGTAGGCCGTGCCGGGCTGGCATAACATGGCCCGTGGGCCATCATGGGCCATGCTGACCTCCCTGGTGAAAAGTTTGGGGGTCGGCCTGATATGGCCCATGGCCCAAGCCCCTGCTGTGCCATGTCACCGGCCTGGGCCGGGTCAAGCTGGGCTGCAGGCCAGGCCGTGGGCTTGGGCTGTGCCAGATTGGGCCACAGGGCGGGCCTTTGGGCCTGGGCTGAACCAGGCAAGACTGATTTTTAAACTTTTTTTTTGTTTTCTTTTTGAAAATTTTATTTCTTTTTTAAGTACAAAAAGTGTAAAACTAAAATATTTAACTTTCCTTTGAGTTTTGGGAATTATTTGAAAAATTAAGAAATGAGAAATCTAACACAAATAAAAAAAATAATTAACCAAATAAGGATGCTGGAATAACAAATTGAAAGAAAAATAGGAATTTTATTTTTTTTTAAATTTGAATGATACAAATTACAAAGCATACAATGGTTGGATACTTCATACTTGGATGAATGAAATATGAAAATGGAATGAATTAATAAAATATAAAAAATACAATATAGTTACAAATTAAAAATACAAAATTACATTGTTAAAAAAATAGCAAATAAATTAAATAAAATTAAAACAAAATTTACAATAATTTGAAAAAAATAAAAATTCTACCCAATTAGTCAACTATTGTTCATGACTTTCATCATTTGCTTCAAGTGAAATATCGGGTGTAGTGTCATGCCCTCATTTGTCTTGTCATCTATCTTCAGCATCCAATTAATCCTTAAAACAAATGCACATGTCTATGTTTTCATCGTTCATGTAGTTTCTCTTGTCGTCCAACACCTTGATACCTGCATTAAAACAAGACTCCGATGGAACTATAGACACCGAAGGGGTTAGTAGATCACGTATCATGGTGGCGAGAACTAGATAACTTTTTGAATGTTCACTCCAGGCTAAAATATCAAAATTATTTATTCCTTCACTTAAAGTAGAAAAATTTGCTTGTAAATAAAAATTAAGTTTAGTAAATGAACTTGTTGTAGAAGTAGCAGATTTCTGACTTCTACTTATTAAATAAAAAAGTTTATCTCTTCTACTACTGGGCTCAAGTTCGGAAGTAGAAGATGTACAAGTTGTAGGATTATTTCCTATTGCTTCAGATTCATATAAACTGTACATTTGAAATAATAAATTATTAATTTCTTCTTTTTTATTTCCAATTTCAATATACATATTTTTACAATATGTTTCAAGGTAAAATATCTAAATCATCTTTCCTTATCCTAAGATCTAATATTGTAGCTAAGAAATAAAGAGGAGAAATGTTCTCCCAATATTTTTTGAATTTATTTTCCACTATTTCAACAATACATTTAAATTGTGGATTATTTCTATATTTTAAAAAACAATAACTAATCACCATCAATTGATAAAGTAAATTACAACTAGCTAGATAATAAATACCCAATAATTCATTAATTGCATTATAAAAATGTTTTAAAAAATCTCTTATACAAATTGCCATTTTCTAGTCTTCCTCAAATATAATATCATTAGGCATTTTTGCATTATAAAAATCAGTAAGAATTTATTTATGAGAAATACAACTTTCTAACATAGCATAAGTAGAATTCCATATATGTTTAACATCTAACATAAAGTGTTTATATTTTAAACCATAATTTTGACATAAATATTTAAATTCTTGTTTTCTTGCCCTAGAACTTTTAATATATATAATACAATTTCTAATTTTAGAATTATGAGTATAAATAATATTTAAAGCATCCTAAATACATAAATTTAAGATGTGACATGCAATTCTGATATGAAATAATTTATCATTTAAACATGGTTTTAATTTAGATTTTAAAATATTTATTGCAGAATCATTATTACTAGCATTATCAAAACTAATAGAAAATAATTTATTCTCAATTCCATAAGCATGTAAAGTATTTAAAATGCTTATAGTAATCACCCATTCAAGCCTAGTAAAACTTAAAATTCTTTCATTTAAAAGTCAATTTTCATCAATAAAATGATGAATAATACAAATACAACTTATGTTAAATTTAGAAGTCCAAACATCATAAGTAATTGTAACTTTAGAATTAAGATTTGATTACAAATAAATTAAATTTTGTTTATATGAATGAAAAAATTTTAAAGCATCTAATCTAATAGGATTTCTAGAAACTTTTTTATATTATGGATTTATAGAATTACGTAACCATTTTTCAAATTTAGTATCTTTAGCTAACAAAAATAGTTGTTCTGCATGTACAATGTATTTTGCTAATTCTTGTCTCATTTTTTGTTGTGAATATTTAAATGTACCAAAACCCACTCTCAATTTGTGTTTGTGTTGTTTCTCTCCCTTCTTCTTCTTCTTTCTCATGTGTGAGCATATGTCTGCTCAAATGGCCAGCACCACCCTTGCTACAATAGCTAAAGTCTTTTCTACATTTCTAGCAAAGTGCTATTTTTCCCTTCCCATCAACATCCTCTACTTTAAATATTTTCCAAACCACTCAACTTAGAGGTCCTTTTTTTCTTTCCCCCGGTATCAGTACCAAGGGTGAAAGTTCCATCAATATCAATAGCATCGGTGCTAACACTATCATGATTCGACTGAATATCGTCAATAGTGAACATGTTGGGGAATTACTTTTGGGAAGA